GCTTTGGCTAAAATATCTTTGCGTGGTTTATCGGCTATATAACTTTACTCAGTGTTAATTTTTTATTAAATTTTACTATTAATAAATATATTAAAATTTAACTATTTCTCCACTTCCTCATCGAAAAATATATTTTTGTGAGCCAAACATTTTTGTATGGCTAAAGTGTTACCTGATTTTTTAATTAATTTTGTTTTCCGGTTAATTTTATGGTAACCTGAAAAATTATATTTTCGTAAGGTTAAAATTATGTATTTCTTTGTGCAGTTTAAATTATTTTACTGAAAATTTATACAAATCATACGGAAATTAAAATGACTATTTTTATAAGAACACTCTTGTAGCCTTGGCTAAGATTTCTTTGCGTGGTTTATTGGCTATTCAATTTTACTCAGTATTAATTTTTTATTTAAATTTTATTATTAGTAGATTTATTATAATTAAACTTTACATCATCGATTTCTCCGAGAAATGATATTTTTGTGAGCCAAACATTTTTGTGTGGCTAAATTATTAATTGGATTTGTAGCTAACTTTTAGTATCCGGAAGAATAATGTCCTGAAAATAAACGAATTCCAAAATTACTATTCTTCTTTTTCATGATTAAAAAACCTTTTTCATTTACTTCCTGTTAACTTTGTTTTTTAATTAAAATTTGAATAAGAAAAGTCCATTAAAGACCAAATTTTTTATGCAAAATATCTACTCAATAAATATTATTTCTTTTATTTAAATTTTATTATTAATTAACTATACTAAACTTATTGGGTTTTCATAGATTTTCATTTGTGTTATTCTGTTTTCACTATTCCTCTTTTACTTAATATTAATTTTTTAATTTAAATTTTATAATTAATAAAGCACATAGTCAAATACTTATATAGTTTCGAACTGCTGAATAGAAGTTTTATTTTTGTAAGCCAAGCATTTTTGTATGGCTAAAGTGTTAACTGCTTTTCTAGTTGATTTTATTGTGACCATAAAAGTATTTTCCAGAAAAATTATATAAAGCAAGAATTATATTTTCGTAATTTATACAAATCATCCTGAAATTAAAATGACCGTCTATGTATAAACATACTTTTGTTGCTTTGGGTATATTCACTTTTACTTAGTATTAATTTTTTATTTAAATTTTATTATTAATAAATTTATTAAAATTCAGCTTTGTATCGACCTCAGCAACAAAAAATATATTTTTGTGAGCCAGACATTTTCGTTTGGCTAATGTAATACCCGAGTTTTTAGTTCATTCTATTGTAGGAATGAAAATATCCTGAAAAATTATATAAAGCATCCAAAAGTTAAAATTATTTCTCTAATAATAATTCAAAAAAGCCTCTCTCTTTTTTACTTCATGTTAACCTTGATTTTTAAATAAAATTTCATCTTTGCTTCTTTTACGCTAATAGAGAACAAAGAACATAGCCCAGATGCCCTTGTTTGATTTTTGTGTTTTCCGATTAATTTTATGGTAACCTGAAGAATTTTATGTCCGTAATTTATACAGATCATCCGTAAATTAAAATGACTTTTTATAAACACACTCTTGTTGCTTTGGCTATATTCACTTTTACTCAGTATTAATTTTTTATTTAAATTTCATTATTAATAAATTTATTGAAACCACTACTTGGTTTACAAATTTCTCCCATAAAGATATTTTTGAGAGCCAAAATTTTTTTGGCTAAAGTTTACTTTATTTTCTAGTTGTTTTTATTGTAACCGGAGTAATAATTTCCGGAAATAATTCCAATATTAATAATCGAATATTAATAATATTCTTTTTAATAATTGAAAACCCACTTTCTTTTACTTCCTGTTAACCTTGATTTTTAAATAAAATGATCTTTGCTTCTTTAACGCTAATAAAGAACAAAGAACAGCAGCGCAACCGCCCTTGTCAGTCACGCGAATTTTATTTTATTATTGTTTACTTGGTTATGCCTTATTCCTCTATTTTCTTCTTTTATATTTATTCAGCTGATCATTGGTCTCGAGGGGTTATTTTTGTTTGTGACAGCCAGTATTTGTATAGCTGTTTTTTTAAACTTCCTTTATATTTTTATTTCTCATTATTTATCATCGACCTTTATCTATTGTGACTATATTTTGATTCGTTTTCGCTTTTTTTACTCAAAGAATTTATATTCTTTTGTTTGTTTTTTATTTTTAAAAATATACTCAGACTTCGTTATATGATACTCAACAATCCCAATTAACCTCATTTTAATATGCTTTTTGAAATTTGGTTTCACACGGGTTAAGCAGCCTCTTTATAACACATCTTTAATGTGATAGTAGACTGTCGAAAAAGAGGTTTTCGAATTGTTTTGGGACCGGTCGGGGGTCACAATATAGTTTGAGTTTGGGCGGGGCTATTTAATACCCTATTAAGATACTCATCATAAGATACCTTCCTCGCCACAGGGTGTATGTTAAAACGAGGTTTTTTCATTTCTTGACCCTCCACCCCATGAGGAATAAAATTCGATTTTTTATCTGATAGAAAACAGTCTAAAATTTTTTTTCAATTTTTTAACTACAACCACTCACCATATATATAAATTCATTTATCATTCAACTTCCAACCATAATAATCTTTAATGTTTGATCATTGTGATCAAAAAATGTGTTATGTATACTGACCATTACTCCCATTATTTAGTTTAAATTATTTTACTGAACACATAACCTTCTTTTTTTTTGATTCTCCGTTAGTTTAATTTATTTTTTTTTAGCTTCTGATCATTTATAAAGTTTAGAGGACTAGAGTGTTGATTGACGGTCATATTCATGTAAGAACAGTTAGACTACTGATTTTAGACTACTGATTTCTGAACTTACGGTCATTGGGTCTTGGACCAATCCCGATATGTCTGCACACCGGGTAGGGTTGTTCACTAGTGTTTATTAACTGATACTGCTGATTTCTATTAACTTAAATTTTTAAAAACCCCATTTCCGGTTTCTATATATATTTTGTAACAAATTCAATTTTCTATCAAATGATAGCAAAAATAAAAAAATAGATTCATTCATTAATTAGTCCTTTGGACAAAACTGAACCCAACTCTACTCCGGACTTTTCTATCAATTTTTTTCATTTTTTCAGCAAGGCAGGGCTTCAAATTTATTAAAAACCTTACTTTCTTATTTATCCTATAGCAAATTTAATTCTCTATCGTTTAGTATCAGAACTTTAAAAATCAGTCAATCCATTCGAGAGTTACGTCGATTAAACTAACCCAATCTAAACGAGATACTATATTCTTTTTACCAAAATTTTCCAAGTTTCTGAAGAAATTTTATTTCTAATTTATCTCATAGCAAATTCAATTCTCTATCGAACGATCCAAAATTTTAAAAATCGGTCTATCCATTCGTTAGTTATTAAGCCTAGACTTAACTATACCCAACCACCAGCTTCTTCATTTCCTTCTAATTTTTTTCCATTTTTTTCTAAAAACGTCCTTTAAAGGGCATATTAAATATTTACTATTTTTCATGCTTTTCCAAGTATTTACTTTTTGTTTTTACACTTTTAAGCTTTCATCTGTCCCCACTTTTTTTTTATTTTTTCTTGTTTTTCCAGACAGACTTTTTCTGTCTTCCTTTAACAGCAATTAATGTCAACACCTAAAAAGTGCTCTAGTTTAGTGCCAATTCCTTTTTTTATATTTTTTTACTATTTTTTGCCGTTAACCAGAACAAAAATTTTTTTTATTTTTATCCTTTGTTATTTTCTGTTTATTTTTTTCTGTTTTTAATTTTTATTCTTTTGTTAGTCATATTTTTATTTTATTCAGGGGTAGAATAAATGTATTTTTAGCCTGTTTTTTAATCTAAATTGTACGATAATTATTTTAATTGACAAATTTCAAAAGGCCAGCTTTTTACTTAATTATTACTGTAAACACTCTTATATAGGCCTTGCCCTATTAGAAGCACATAGAAAGAAATATAATGACTCTTTCCGACTCCTTAAACCAAATTACAGAATTACGTCTGGCCGGATCCTGTAGTATTTTTCCGTGTAATCTGTTATGTACGTGACTTGTATGTCTACGTACTAACAAGAATAAACACAAGATAAGACAGTGACTAACAAACTGTGCTTTATCTACAATACTAAATACAATAGGTTGCGAACAATAGAATATGGCTAAACGCCGAATAGGTGGAGACAGAATAGAATAAGAATAACACTGCGACAATAAGACTAAGACCGCGACTGAATAATAGGAAGGCTTTTATACTAAGCCGATACCCAACATAATCCTGTATGGAAACAATCCTGAGATCCACATAAAAAAAGCCTGATTTGGGACCCGAAATCAGGAAATAAGCAGGAAAAGAAAAAAGCCTGCCGATCCTGCCCTCTATTGGGGTTTGAGTCTGAACTCAATTTCCTATTAGAGCCCCCAGCTATTGGAGGGTTTTTGAATTAATAAAATCGTTCTTCTTAATACATATCTCTTTAGTGCCAATAAATTATTAAAATATTTTTTTTATTTTTGCTTCTTCCCTTTTCCACATTTTTTTCTCTTTTTTAGCATTTTTTTCACGCTAGACATCCATTTTTCTAACATAAACAACGCCAACTATATTTTATATTTTTCATTATCCTTTCTAAAATAGTATTAAAGTACAGCTAAAATAAGTCTCTTTTAGTAAACAAATTTTGCCGTTAAAAAATAGTAAAAAGCTTCACGTTTTTCTTTCCTCTTAAATGATGGCAATAATAAGCTGTAGAGGGACGCGACATTTGTGCACAAAAAATTTGCGAACAACGTTAGATTTAAAAATGAATGTTCAACTTGGAAATTTATTTTTTAATATTTTTTGACACTTTGACATTCGGAACGACAATTGAAAAAATATTTTTAAAAAATGGCCCAGGAAAATTTAAATAAGAAAAACCCCGCAATTGTCTTGTTCGCAAATGTCGTCTCTTTATATTCCTCTCTCCTTTTTTCTGCTTCATATCTTATTTTTAATGTCGCCTCCACATTTTGCCAATAAGGCAAAAAATACACGTTTTGCCAATAAAAGTGTTGGCAAAACGTGTGTTTTTAGTCTTATTGGCAAAATGTGGATTTGGCAGAATATTGGGGACGCATTCGAAAAAGATATTTTTTCCATACTTCCGTGTCCAATTTTCTTAACAAACTGAAAGTGTTGGCATTTGCCAAAGACTTTTTTAAATAAGCTTTTTCCTCTTTTTGGATAAACAAAAAATTATTTTTTCTATTTATGGAAAAATGACTAATAGGACTTTAGCAAGTTTATTTTTTTTTAATTTTGTATTTTAATTGTACTAGAGTTTAATTAGGGGGTCGTTAGAGTATAGGCGAGAAACTACAACAGTATCTTCTTTTAAAAGGAATACAGTAGCTTCTCCTAAATAGAAAAACCAGGTACCTAGGTACCTATTCGTGTGTCTTCGAGAGGCAAAATCCCCAAATGGGGGAAGTATGTCAAACAGTTTTCTTAAGGTCTCTCCCTAATTTTCTTCAAATATCCAAATCTCTCACTTTTGATTTTTATTTTCCATTATTTTAAATTTCCCTCACAAATCTTTTTTTTTTTTTTTTTTTTTCAGATGTGTGGAACTTTTTTTTGTGGACTTTTTCAGATGTGTGGAACAAAAAAAAAGATTAAATTTCCTTTTATGTAAAATTAATCTTTTTTAAAGAATATTTTCTTTATTGCACTTTTATCACAAAAATAATTTTTCTTTCCCCTCGTGTACTTTTACTAAATATTAAATAATACATTAAATAATTCTCTAATACTTCCCCCTTTCTTTTTTCTTTAAGTGAAAGGAGTGTTGGGTTATTGCCAGACGAGTGATTGTGAATATTTGTGTGCACGTGTTGATGTCTTAAAGTGTGTATTTACTATTTAAGGAGTGAATTTCGTATGGAAGACGTGAGAAAGAGTAGGGGATGACAAAAATAGAGAAAGATAGTGTATTAAATTTAAATAGACAAAATGTCACAGCGACAAAATGTCTCAATGACAAAATGGCAGTATGTCAAAAGACAAAATGCCAGTAGGAACATTTTGGTTCTACTTGACTTTATGAGTCCAAACAAAACTTTATGAGCACATTCACATTTTATTAAATTCTGAACAAAATTATGATTAATTGAATATCGCTGGAATATCTATTTTTGTGCTGTTACTTAGGGAGTAAGTCTGCATTTCAAAGCTGAAAAGCAGTAGAAAGGGATAGGTTAATGTTACTGTTGTAGAACCCAGCGTTCGTTGACACCCGAGAGGCGTTTAATTCCCTATTGAATGCCACCAAAATTATTTAAATCGGTTTATCCGTTCAAGAGTTACTTTGCGTAGACTCTACCGTCCCTATTTAGTGTTTAAGAAAACAACTAAAGAAAACTTCAAAGATGAGTCTTTTCGACCAAAAAGAAAAGAATAGAAAGGAACAAAAAATAGAAAGTGCAAAATCGTTGCATTTTGTCCTAAATATTTGGGTTGGCTTGTCTCGTGCTATAGTGCATCTCAAAGGAAACGAGTAGGTAAAAGAGCCGGGTTGGCCAGACAGGAATTTTATATTTTTGTTTTGTTCGTTTTAGGCCATCTTCTAGAGCTAATCCAGAAGATCAACAACTATTCAAAAAAGCCGTTAGAGTCTGAGTTTTGGTCAGTATCTACTCGTATCTGTGACTTTAATGTTTCAGAGGGTGTTTGTTTATTAGAGAATGGTATTAGAAGTTCATTAGAGTTTAGTCAATAATATTAAAATTTTGTCCATTAGAGTCTGAGTAATTTTTCTATTTGTCTAGGGTGCTTTAAAGACGATAAGAAGTTTGGCTATATGTTGTTGATCTTTTGGGCCAACCTTGACCTGAACTTATACCATAATTAAAATAGTATTTCAAGTCGCATTAAGTCAATATTTGTCTTCCATTTAAAATTTTGTGTTCAAAGGGGGATGGAATAATAATTAGGCAAATTTGATTGCCCAGCCTTTATTTGGTTTTTACTTGATTCATTTTTTGTTAACGTTTTTAATTAAAAACTTTTCTGAAAAAGTTATTTGTTCTAAACACCTTTTTTAATCTTGAATTTTTTTGTTTGTTCAAAGACTATTAGAGTCACATTTATCTATTGTCTTGAGTCTTTAAATATCTCTTTAGTCTAGTTTTGTTAAGTTAAATTTGCATAATATTAATTAATCCCATTAATTATCATTAAAGTAGCTTAGAACAAAGGGTTGTATTTGCCATATTCACGGATGTTAGATTCTTATTTTTGCAAGTCAGGCTTTTAACGCTCGACTAATTGATTTTGATAATTGGAATCAGTTAGTGCATTGCAATAAATAAGATTAGTTTTTCAAGTCAACTTTACATAAGATTAATTATTCTAATTAATTCCAAGCAAAAGGAAATTAAAAAATTCAATTTTTTTTTATTATTTTTATATTTTTTATTTTTAATTTAATTATACTCTCGTTAAATTATACATAATTGAGGGTGTTAATCTTAAAGGTTTTATTTTTGTTTGTAAAATCTGCATAATATTCATTAATTAAATTAATTTTAAGTAAAATTAGATTTAAAACAAACGATAGTGTGACATGGTGTCGAGATTGATGTTATTTTTGAAAGTCGAGTTAAAATCTCGACTAATTGTAATTTTAAATTGAGTTCAATCTCACTCTTTATACTTGCTTTAGCTAGATTTGGAGTTTTGAGGGATCTTGTTGTGGTGACTTGCGTTGTGTCTGATACTAACAGAAAAGACTTGACTAACAAACAGTCTTATCACAAAGCAACTGGAGTAGAATACTGACAATAGCTGACCGAGAGAGATGATAAGAGTGACACTAGACTAAAAAAAGTCGGCAACTTTCAAAAATAACACCACACTTTATGAGCCACATAATTGATATTCTTATTCTACTGCTTCTTAAGTTTGATTAAATGAATTAATACATATTATGTAATTCGATACATAAATAAATAAAAAATTTCTGCTCTCAACGCTCAACTATCTACAACATAATAATTAAGGTTCGAAATTATATGGAAATCCATATTTTTTCCTAAATTGGCAGTCGACTTTATTCTTTCACGAATCATATTGTTTGGCTATATGTATGTTGGTGGTTTTTTGGGTTAACCTTGACTTGAACTTATAGCATAATTAAAAAGTACTTTAAGTCGAGTTAAGTATATTGTTTTTCACACTAAATTTTGAGTTCAAACGAGGAGGGAATAATAATTATGCAGGTTCAATTGCTCAGCCTTTGACTTTTGGTTTTTCTTATTTCATTTTTTGTTAAAAATGTTTTTGATTAGAAACGTTGGCCCTATCTGAAATAATGCGGCAATCAAATTTTTTCCTTCATTTTTTCCTTTCCATATTTTTCCTTATTTTGTACAGAAAGGTCAGACTTTTTCTCTAGTTCACTTCAAATGAATTTCCCTGTGGCATGTTCAAATGTAATTATAGAGAAAAGATTAAAAGCAAAAAATAAAAAATAATACATTTTTGTGTTGTCTGACAGAAAACACGGACGAAGACGGACGGACAAAACACGGACAAACTCGGACAGAAAACATGGACGGTCACGGACAGACAAAACAAGGACCGTCCATGTTTTGTATGTCTGTGACCGTCCGTGTTTTGTCAGAACGGACCCGGACAGACAAAACACGCACACACATCGGTCAGCTAAAACACGGACAGAAAAAACGTAAATGCTCACGAAATGAAAGAAAAATAATCCTTTTGCGTTTATAGTCTTAAGGCATAAATCAAAAATAGAGAGAAAAATATAAGAAAATTAACCATTTTTAAGAATAAGGAAAAAATTTGATTGCCGCATTGTTTTCAGATAGGGCCGAAACGTTTATTTCTGAAAAAATATATTTGGTCCAAACCAATTTATTTGTTTAAGGACAATTAGAGTCACATCATTCTATTTTCTTCAGTCTGTAAAGTTTACTTTAGTCTTGTTACTTTTGTTGAGTTAAATTTGCATAATATTAATTAATTCGATTAATTTTAAACTAAGGTAATCTTAAAAATATAACCATATCTCCTGGTGAATTAGGGTTTCGTTTATTTTTGCAAGTCAGGCTTTTAACGCTCGACTAATTAATAATTTAATCAAGGATTAGTCTTCCAAGTCAACTTTACATAATACATATTAATTATTTCAATTAAGCTCAAGTAAAAGGAAAATTGTTAAATTGTATTATGTTATGTTTTGGGTGGCTTTTTTTTATATTTTTTGCAAGTCAGGTTCTTATGCCCGACTACATTATAAATCTAAGTTACACTGGTTGTGTCGTTACAGCGGTCATTAAAGTCTAAATAGCAATGATATTTAATTTTTAGTCTAGTTTAGATAGAAGGGTTATTAGATTTTCAAGCTTTCCTTGCATAAGTGCAATGCTCTTTTTGTTTCCACCTGCCAGAAAACTTTTAAAAAATCACGAAATATAAATAATTCCACAAACTTTTTCCGTTTGTTTTTGTCTAAACTTGTGAAAAACAATAAGTGCAAACGTCTGAATATTAAAAAGAGGAAAATAAATAGTTAAAGCTTGCAAGTTTAAATTGTTTCTAAATAAATATGTAGGGAACTAAATATAAATAAATTTGTACACTTTGTTTGCTCTACAAAGAATACAGAAAGTCTAGAAATTTAATCCCTAATTAGTGTTTAAAACTGAGTAATCGTTTTTATAGTGTGGTAAGATGCTAGGTCATTTCTATGCAATTTTAAGTGAAAATTACATAATATTAATTAATTGAATTAAATTTTAGCAAAAGTAAATCTAAAAGTCTAAATCTTACCATCTACACGTAATTTGCTGTATTTTTGTAAGCGGCTTTTAAGGTCGCTAATTTTGTTAAGTATTCGCGTCGATTTTATGTTCGTTATAATTGAAGACGCTGGTGCTAACTTTTTTCAGTCAAGTGAATTTTACATAATATTAATTAATTCAATTTATGTTAAGTAAAGCTGATAGTATAGTAAAGCAGCTGGGCTATAGCTATTTCTCTCCTTTAGCTAGTGCAAAAGGTTAATCGGCGGCTGGGAGCGAACCAGCATCTTCAGTAGACCGGACTGATGTGTTAGCCATTACACCACGCCGCCTACTGCTCAGCCTTAGGAAATAGATAGCTATATGCTTTACACCTCCATCCCCAGGGAAGACTGTCCCTAGTCTTCTTATCTGCCCTCTTCCCGCTTTTTCTCTCACCTGCGGGGTAGCTTAATCATCGCCTTCTCTGGCGGAATTTCATTTCTCTAACCCAGGGCCTATGGGATGGATCGTCATTCGTTCAGCATTCGCTGAACCATCCGGTGCTACCAGTAAAGCAGCTGGGCTATAGCTATTTCTCTCCTTTAGCTAGTGCAAAAGGTTAATCGGCGGCTGGGAGCGAACCAGCATCTTCAGTAGACCGGACTGATGTGTTAGCCATTACACCACGCCGCCTACTGCTCAGCCTTAGGAAATAGATAGCTATATGCTTTACAGTATAAAAACAATAAGAAGTATTGTCTATGAGCATTTGTTGTATTTTTGAAAGTCAAGCAGTAATCTTTGGCTAAATATGTTTTGATCTTTGAATAAAGAAGGCAAAACTGCGGTTGTCGGGGAACTGCGATTGTGTTACTTGTGTCTGTGATTTTAATGGTTCAGAGTGTGTTTTTTTATTAGAGAATGGTTTTAGAAGTTCATGAGAGTTAGTTGGTAATAGTAAAAATTTTACCCATTAGAGTCTGAGTAATTTTTCTATTTATCTATGTGACTTTAAAGACCATAAGAGGTCGTTTGGTTGTGTGTGGGTGATCTTTTGGGCTAAACTTGACTTGAACTTATAGGATGATTAAAATAGTACTCTATGTCGCGTTAAGTCAATATTTGTCTTTCACTTAAAATTATGATTTGAAACAACGAGGGAATAATATTAGGTTGGTTCAATTGCTAAGCCTTTGACTTTTGGTTTTTTCTTGATTAATTTTTTGTTAAAAGTTTTT